ACTGCTTATTGATTTAAAGAATGTCGAAATGAACTGTTTATTTATTTATCAGGTACGGACAAAAAGATGAAGATAACGTTGTATTAAACGAAGAACATTATATTGTAACTATGAGCATACAAAAATCAAATTACTTTCTGCCATAAGTCAAATTTAATCTCGAATTCTGTAATTGCTCATTTAAATGTACATTTTTAGTTGCATAGGAAATGAAGATTCAGGTTGGATATGGCCTATCGATTACTATGAACTAAGTTATTTGTATTTATATTACGATTAATGTTATAATTTTTTGACATTTTGTACAAAAGGGATGATAATTGAGGAAGATTGTAATTGAAACGCTCAGTGACACGAACAAAATTCGCAAAGATATTTTAAACATGTAATATACAATAGGATTTACGTCTTTAGAAAAAATTATACATGTCTTCCAACTGTAACTAAATAGAAATGCTAGAGAGAAAGATGAAATAGTTCAACAGGATCTTATTTTCCTATAAGAGAGTCCCTTCCACAAGTACAACGCTAGATCTGCAATATACATACAGTTATTAAACTATCCCACAATCCACCAATTTCTCAATCATTTTACCGTTTCATTTGCCGCGTAAAATGACGACAAATATCGATTTATGTATAAAAAATCTACATTTCCAATACAAAAAAACGCAACTGCATATTGCAGATAAACCTTTAGACTTACGGCGAAAATTTTCCCAAAACGTAACCAATCTCTTCAAACCATGCGACTTGTCTCTCTCACTCTCTAATCCTGTATACGACTCTGTATAAAAAAATACACCCCTAAAAAGATTATAATAACTCCGAAGTCTTAAAAAATAAAGTCACCTTATTATGCACCGCTTCGAATTAAACGTTCCGCAAATATCTTTTCAACTCCATAAATAATAAAACACCAATATTCTTCCCTTCGATTCAAGATAACACACTCTGCATAATACCTACATATCGAGTAATTACAACCTCAGTTACGTTCGTTGGACGCCTTATCTACGGTCTACCATCTCGGAATCAAGTCTCTCGGAAGTACCACCTAATCATAATAATAATCTGCGTAAATCCCAAAAGGCGCCGCCGTACGGACGTGTGCATGTTCCGAGTAACACCCAGCTGACCCGATTTTTACGAGAATACTTCTATCGTCTGCACGTGTGGGCGTACCGATCCCGCGCGATAAATGAATTCCGCTTACAAAATGAAAATATTATAAATTTTACAAAGACCCGGTCTATTAGACTCGATGTAACCCGTAGGCCGGGGTGTACCTGCGGCGAGATAACCGTTTCCTGCTTCTCGGGCCGAATTAGCACATCAACGTAATCCGATATGACAACGATGCCTTCTTTACGTGTCCTGAAGCGTAGGACTCGTGTCGTTTCACCTGTCCCTCTGATAATGTGACGGCGGGCAGCCGGCCAGGCGGACCGGGAACTGGATTCGTTAATGGAGGAAAACGAACGTTGACCGTAGTTATGTAAATAAATGTAACTCGATACCGTCGTTAATAAAAAAATCGTGGCAATTTATAACGCTCTACGCAAGCCGTCCGCGATACGTTATACGTGCACACAATCTTGGGTGTGGTAACGCTATGCGAATTCTAGCGGTTCTGGCCTGTCCCGGGCAAATTACAGGGTGACCAAATTTGTTGTCGATGATTTTTACGAGACCGCAGGTAAGATGGAGTAACGGTATCACTTACCATTTTATATACTACGCAACAGTTTTCTGGAACTTACCTGAAACAGAAAAATTAGGGTGATCAGGAAACGTTGGAGCTTAACGGGTAGAACAAGGTAAATTACATTTTTTTAATATAACGAATGCGGTCATAAACAATGTAATTTCAACTGAAATCTCGTTCTTATTTTCTTTTTTTCACCCTGGCGTTAATAGGTTCATAATTTGTGAACATAGTAAAATGTGAATTTAATATTTGTAAATGCTAGAAATACTGGTTTCAGCAATCATAGTGTGGTTATTCGTAGATTTTATAAATCGCAAGTAGTATTCTTACAGGAATAATATTATAAGGGTGTCCTGAAACTGGTGGTACAATCGGGTAGGGGGTGATTCTACGTGAAAAAATAAGTCGAAAATATAAAATAACATTTTGTTAATTTGAAACTTAGTTTTCGAGAAAATCGACTTTAAAAAACTACTGGATATGCGTGCAATTGAATAGGACTTTGTCAACGCGTCTGTTAATTGCATTCAATTTCTTTACCCCCATAACAAATACACGCATGACAAATAAATCATCAAATTCGATTTTCTCGAAAACTAAGCCTCGAATGAAAAAATGTTACTTTATATTTTCGACTTATTTTTTCACGTAAAATTACCCTCTACGTGATTGTACCACCATTTACAAGACACTATATATTTAAGATCTCATTATTTCTTTAGTTTCAAATTTAAACGATTATTTCTTTAGTTTCAAAATTGAAACGAACGTATATTCATAGTCAGTGGAAATAAATTTGTTTCGTGGTGCAAGATCACTAAACAATAAAAATAGGGTATGTGTATATGTACAGATGTAATACCTGACATATACTTTATTGTGCGTGCCTTTATATACGAACGAATGATATTATTATTATAACAAAGTCTTTTGTAAATGTGTATACAGATATGTAAATATACTTGAAAGTATAGGAACAAAGAAAAACAAGGACAAAATTTTTTTTAACCAAAAAAGTGTGGTAGAGAATGTAATATTATAAAGAGCTAACAGGACAGTTGAAATGAAACCTTAAAGACTGACAATTCTGAACTGTGCTAATGTTAATGGTGCAGTTGAATTGCTTTACTAAATCACGCTGTTAACGCTGCCTACGTCGCCACTCACCAACGCATTATCTCGTTCTCCTAATTTTCCGCTATTTTCCACGCCTTGTACCCCCACGAGCAAACTCGGCTACCACTAGGGGAAAAAGTGATGTAAGGGAAAGACCTCTTACCATTTGGTCCTGAAGTTACTGAAATTTATGCCAAATTAATATTCGGTTTAACATTTATTTCAGTATTTGAAATAAATTTATCAAGCGGTAGGAGGCCCTTACCCCTACGTTACTTTTTCCCCTAGTGGAAGCCGAGTTTGCTCGTGGGTGTACGTCAACGTTATCAAAAAGGTATAATAAAAGGTATATAATAATTCAAATAAAAAAGCTACATTATATACAATTCAGATTAGATTTAAAAAATTATAAAGTATCCTATCATTGGTTTGTGCAAATTCTTCATGAAATTACAACAAAGATTATATAGAACTAAATGTAATATCTGAATTGAAATTTCATATGTGATTGGTTTCATTTACTAGTCGATATTTTAAAATCATCAAAAAGAGTAAAGCAACGATAAGGAAGCAAGGGACTACATATTTTATATTCAATATGATATTTTAATTAAATGCATGATTTACATTATTCTTTTAAAAATTAATTGAAGTAGTTGCGACTCTATGAAACGGCAATTATGTTTATTTATTTCATAAGCTAATTACTTTGACCAGTGTAATTATATGCACAAATCGATAGAAAATAATTATATCTTAATTTAATCATTAAAACAAATTAAGGCGACAACGGGAAAAAAATAACATTTTTCGCAGTGTTCAAAAAGTTTGTTAAATGCAAAAAATAGTTGTCAAGACATGATAACACAAGAAAGAAGTGCGTAACTAAAAATTTATATTGTATAATGATAACATATACTGTTACCGTACTCATTGTAAGTATAAGAAAAACATTAATGATTTCTTAAATTTAATAAATTTTAATTAATGTTCCTTAAATGTACATAGTCGTAATCTTACAATTAGAAAGTAAGCGTTCCATTTTCCAAAAGTAAAAATTCGTTCGCTCGTAAAATGTCCTATAAAGTTCTTGGACAATGAAATTCTTTATTAATGTAAAAATAAATGAAAATTAACTTTCATTAAAAAAAATAAATAAAACTGAATCACATGAATTACGAACTTTCTATGTATCTAAACGCATCATGTAAAAAAAAATAAAACTCAATCACATGAATTACGAACTTTCTATGTATCTAAACCCATCATGTAATCATTGTAGCTCCACTTGATGTGCTGAATGTACATTGTACACATAAACGCGTGACGCATATACATGACCATAAACGAATAACCGAGAACAGTACTAAATCATACCTTTGCCACCGGAAATGTGATATCGACACCGTTATATCGTCAGGTTTAACGGGTTCCTATATTGACACACGTACTGTGACCCAAAATCCCGAGTACCGAGGAAGTTAGAATGTGATAACATCTATCGGGCAACGAATGATAACAATAGCATAAGTATACATGAGAAAGCGTTGGAAAAGAGAACGTGCGGAAAGTAGGGTGGAAAACGGTGGCGTTTAATAGAAGTAAAAACAAGGAACAAAGTTTACATTCCTATAAAAAAAAAAGAAAAAAAAAAAAAGAAAAAAATACAAATAAAATATACTAAAATAATACTTCAAACACTTCACATGTTACGATCTAACAGATATAAAACAGTTAATTTACTACTGTCTTACAAAAGGATATAGTCGAAGTCGGAATATTATGCAAAGGATTATTTCAGTAAAATTCTAAAAATAACTGTGGACCGAGAAAGTCATTTTTGTATTATCGAAAGGTAAGTTCTTTTCCGTTCTAATTACTTATTTATTATTCAAATAATAGTTTGTAAATTCGAACATTGCGCACCAAACATGGATATATTTGAAAAGTCCGCCCGGAAGTTGAATGAATTCGATGGTAGCGCCAGAGTCTATATCTCCCATAACGTGACTCAGTGGTATCACGTATCCCTTGGTATATATATACACATCTGTTTCGTAACATATGTGATCGATAGGCGTGTACTTTCTTTCTACATCTGTATAGTTTGCATACGCAGAATCAGAGCAACGTAAAGTGTCTCGAACAAAAGTACGTGCAACGAACGGTTCTACATAGTTACGTATTACGAAGCAAGAGGATCGACGGCCGCGTCGCGTGCAATTCCACGGAATCCGAGTGTTCTGCGCATGCGACGAAAGGTAAGTAACAGCGCAATCGCTACGAACCCGGTAAAATAACCGCGACATTCCAAAGGAATACAATGAATTACTGTTACGTGTACTCCTTTACTTGTTAAACACGTTAAATCAGTCTTTAAGTAATACAATTTGTCGCATAACTATAGAATAATACAGCAAAAGGTAGATTAGAATATACATATACACATCATATAAGTATCATTCAGAGATCTCATTTTAACCACCGGATACTTTGGTAAATTTTACTACTGATGTCACTGAGACTACACTTTTAGATGAACCTAGATGTCATCGAAATTGAATGGCACTTTTTGATTCACTATCAATCGAAAATATTTTTAATATTAATGTCTAGCAATGTATTAATGTATTACAAAAATGAATCACTAAATTGACTCCTTAAGATTCATTTATGAATCACGTGAGAACAAAATTTGACTCATTTCATAGTGAGGGATATCATCAACTTTTCAAAATTGTTAATTATTGAAATACTTATTTCAATGCATACAAGAATTCAGAGGATTATTACATAAATGAAAGGTGATGGTCATGAGGCCTATAAGGCTAACAGTACTATACATATACATATGTACATATATACCTATATATACTTATGAGAAAATCTAATATGCCGACTGAAAGTATGACTGTATCCAGAGAAAGTTTACCGTTTATTTCGTACCATTTGTAAAAAATTATTATTCATATATCAGTCGTGATTTCGTGATAAAGTAGTTACTTTGGAGATTTATATATGGTTTATGTACACTCACGTGCAAACTCGGCTTCCACTAGGGGAACAAATAACATAGGGAAAGGGTCTCCTACACTTGGAAAATTTATTCCAGGTAGTGAAATAAATATTAAATCGAATGTTAATTTGGCATACATTTCAGTAATTCCAAATATCAAGTGGTAGGAGGCCTTTCTCTTACGCCACTTTTTCCCCCTAGTGGAAGCCGAGTTTGCTCGCAGGTGTATGTACTATAAGAATTCAGTATTCAGTAAAGGGAAGCCAGCTTTGGTTAGTTGGTACTTCAAGATGTCTAATATAATGACAAGAAATGAATTCTTCAACGTGAAGTTTAGAGTATATTATAAAAAGTTTAGGTCTAATCGGGAAATATTATTAGTTCAGAATTTGTAAGGAGTTCTACACTTATTTCACATGCATGAACATACTACATTCTTGTGCTTCACTTATGGAATAAACGGAGAAATTGAAATCAGTGGATTGTTTCTAAGCAAATAGTGAAATTTATAGACTAACGGTATAATTGTAATAAAAGTATCTATTAAAACCGATACTCAATTACGTTTTATTACGTCGTCAGAAGTTATGTCACGAACATCTATTCGAGGCTGACGGAAAAGACAATGGTTGACTATGACCATAAAATGGCTAATCAATCATTGACTAGATATTCGTGTGAAGACAATCAATTACAATTCATCGTCTTTTCACGGCTCGTGAGCGTGAAAGAACGCGCCAAAATGACTTTCCGTTCAGCGATATAATTGAATCTTGTTAACCGTGACATTTTGTGCACCGCTCTCTAAGCGTTTATTTTAGAAAGGCAGTTTAAAGTGTGCTGGGAAAAACCTGTGAACCGAACAAGTTGACCGTTTGCGACTCTAATTCTCGCTACACAACATTTCATTTGTACTGTTAAATTACCAATACAATCAGTTACACAAATCTATATAAACCCTTACAATAATATACACTGAATGTAATTATATGTAAATCGTAGAAAAAATGTTTCTCACATTTAACATACATAAGATATGTACATATTTCAAATCTGAGCTTTATATTAGAAGATTTATTTTACATTTTCGAAATATTTTTGTCCTGGAAAACCTATGTTATGCTTGCTTGTATCACCCTGTGTATAAAATAGTTGATAAAGAAAAATTGTAATGTTAAATTTTTAATGTAAAAGTGTAAGCTGTAATAAGGAATATAAAAATTATCTAACACCAGTACAGGTGTTTAATACTATCACTCACTTTAATATTGTCCCACATTGTGGAATATTTAAGTATGAACTCTTTTGATCTTGCTGGATTTATTTCAACGTTTTTAATTATAAAGTTTAAGTATTAAAATACTAAAAACATGTTACATATTCATTTTGTCAATGTGCATTGAGGAATAGCCATATCTTTATGACTTAAATTAAACTGAATTACAAACATTTTCAGCGAAATCTGTGACTCTGCTCAAAAACAAAGAAAGATGAAACTCCTATAAGTTTAATCGATCAAAGCCCGTTGATAAACCATCTGTCGAATGATCTTTAAAACACTGATCCCTAAGAAGACACTGATTCGTCAATATGGTACCTGGGCGAGGATTTTCTCCACGAAATCTAAACCACCGGCATCAGAGGCAAGTTTCTTAACCATTCTTAAATGAGACTGCTAATCATCTAGTAGCAATGTGTCGCCGTCCTATTGAATTGATTCGTATTTCCAACAATTTCCGTTCCCATGAAATTACAATCAGAATCGATTGACCGTGAGAATCCTCGTAAGTCTCGACATCGATCAGATTCCACGTTCGTAGAATGCAGCGTATAAAATATCGCTAAACTTCCAAGCTCCTTCTTCCGTCCGATTCTTTTGAAGGAGATGATACTTCAATTAAACCGGGTACGCATCGATAGAATCCTCGGAGTACATAACGGTAGCGATGATACCCCCTTCGCGGTTCTAAACGAACGTCGAAAGAGGAATTCATCTAACAGATGGACGAGAGGATATACAAAGTGACTCGGTGTCATTACGGTACAAATAGGTCTTAACGAGGTATCTGCTGCAAACGAACGAGCCACCGTGGACGTCGTACTTCGTGAAGTATGCCGACGTCGTCGACGATCAAAGGGGGATGTCCCACTTCAATTGGCCGGTTGGCAGCAGCAATTACCACGTACTTAGAATCGGCTGTTTTCCATACATTAAATATCACTGCACCAAGAGGCCGCGACAGGACCTCGGGAGCGAGGACAAATTTTTCAAGGCGATCAAGCTCCTGAACCTTGGTACGTGATCTCGCATAACGTACCCCGCGCAAAAGGGGAAAGCGCACGCCACGACCGGGTATACCTATCATTGTCCTTCTGCGATCAACGTACCCCGTTTCATTGACACTTTTTCCATCTGTAAATAGCCAACCCGGGCTCGTAATGGCGCAGCGTGTCGCCTCGATAATTGATCATTCGTTAATTTGTATTCCATATTCGATCCAACAGGTATACCCACACTGATGTACGGACTGGCTGCCACTTGGCTGATCAGACACCAAGAGACAGTGAAAACTGCCCAAGGGAACGTGATGATCTACTTCTTGCTGCCCGAGGACAAGAGTTCCATGTACTGACGTAGCCACGCGAATCGACGTTAATTTGTTCTTTAACGTGATAATATTTTTTCATGTGACATTATGGGGAAATATAAAATTAAACTGTTGAATACGGTGTCTCGCAGTAGATGGAATTTTATGTTTAATTCGATTGTTTTTCATTAGAACTACGAATTACTAAAATAAATTGGTATTTATAATCTATGTATATACAGTAAGTAATTTGAATAATTTAAATAGGTAACTACTATACATACAAGGTTTGTCCCGAAAGTTTTAACAGCGATTTTTCGTATGATATTCACGCTTTTTATCAGCAGTTGTTAAAAGTAGTTTCCTTTTGATTGTTCGCGATAATTATACAAACATTGGACATAGCTCAGATAATTCTTCTTCAAGATGGCGGAGAATGTAGTCATCGAGACCTTGAGAATGTCACAAAGATTTTGTATTGTCGTATATTTGTCTTAATTTCGAATTTGGGTAACAGGAATTTGTTTGATGTAGCTGAATTAGACGAATACGGTGGATAATCAAACTGTTAAATACCTTTCGAGACCAAAATATTGTGTAAACTCATGAAGTCAAAAGTTTCGACCGTCGTTCTTTCCACCAGCTGGAAGAAGAATTACCAGTCATTTCCAGAGTTTCTATAATTATTGTAAACAGTATATCACTTTAAAAGAAACCTATTCTTAATATTTGATGATAAAGAGCATTATTATTTTACGGAAAACGATTGTTTTCATTTCAGTTTAAAAATTTTTGGAACAGACCGTGTAACATAAATTTTCTAGCTTCGTTATTTATTAAGTACATACTTAAACTTATCTGTTAATTAAAAAATTATTATTTGTGCGGTAGAGAAACAACTGTTGAATCTTTATACGTTCTTGAAATGTCATTCAAAATTCTTTTTAAATAATTAAGAAATTTGATCTAAATGTTTAGCATAATAATTTTCATAAATCTCGTAGAAGAAATAATGGCAAAAGATAAGCTATCTTCAACGACTAGATAAATAACTTCTACAATATTCCTATAAAACTACCCAATAATTGCAGAAAAATATATTTCGAAACACCGTAAGGGATTCCATTTTGTGAAGATTTGCTCCACAGTTCATTCTATCGCATAATCAATTTAAATTTAATTTATTTATTTAAAATTCCCCAAACGTCGCTTTTATGCCATGCGCAGTTTCTGTACTCAAAATACCTATTCACTATTTATCGGTCAATAAAAGTCTTAATTATCAGTAAAATAATGAATGAACGCCAAAATTTCATCCAACCATCTCTAAAGCGTTAACATTAAATCTAAACTATCATTCGCAAGCATTTATGCTACAGCGTTCATGCGCATTAGGTACACTTCTAAAACGCTCATCTTTCCTAGAACAGTCGAGTTTAATGATCTATCAACACTTCTTGCAGGTGTACGACTTTTACGGTATGCAGGCAAAAAGCATTAATAACGCGTTATACCATGAAATTACGTAATGCCATTAAAAACGTTTGCGGTTGCCTATTTTATGGTAAAAAAATACTGTCTTTTCATCATTCCGATAACTTTCAGCTCGAGCTGTACGCGTACCCGCGCGTGTGTGTCTGTCTGTCTGTGTGTGTATGTGTGTCTGGCAGTGGTTAACCGTGGAAGTGTGGTTCCTCGATAGAAGGCGAATAAAAGTATTAATTAGCAGGTGCCTGCCTTTCACTCGGCTCTGTCACCAGCCGGAATACGAAAAGACTTTCACCGACCTCTACCTTTGCACCTTCCATACGCGACTCCAATCGTCGATTCTTTGGTCTCATGCTCGCGTGCATAATGCCCCAGCTATCCATTGAACATCGTGATATCTGAAATCGCACTATCAACCAACCGATGCATAAAAGCATTGTACTCGGTTACGAGGAGAGCATTTGAAGCGACGTAAACTGTTCGCAACTGAACATGCTTTATGTGCCTATTCAATATGATATATGGCTCGTCATAAATATCCAAATATAACAGTTTCCACTTTTAATATGTTTCTAGTAAATTCAACAAATATATATTTTCCTCGCCCGTCGTTGGATAAATATACAACTTCAAAAATATTAATTTCTTAAAAACTGGTCTTTTGTTCAACTCGTATATTTTAAGCAATTTTCTATATTAAGGTAATTTTCTTTAGAAATAAAAATCTGTTATTTTAATTGTCTATAGTTGTAGTCAACATTTTTTTTCAACTATTTACAGGTGACAGAATACGTATCTTAAAAATATACATACAATGTATGGGTATGTATCTATGCAGAACAATCTATTAGTAAAATAAAGCTTTAAAAATTGCTTTTCTGATGGAAATCAGGAAACGTACTTTCAGCAATATTACAATATACTTATATGTATAGTGAACTCGTGGAGCAAATACGAGCAAAGATAATGTAATCACTGCTATGTAAAAACTATGTTTCGCGTATCTGTTGAAATTGGAATGTAATTTCGTTAAAGAAAAGGCGTTGCCCTTCTGCAAGGACTCTCAAGTCATCGTGTAAAAATCCTTAGTTTCTTTATCTATTCAATAGTTTTACAAATTTTTTATTTACGTCCACTCGCGTGGTGCATATTTATGTAATATTAATTTTCGTGATTGTAGCGGACAGAACCGTGCGAGGAAAGTTTTTGCTTTTACAATAATATACACTTTGCACTGACACCTCTTGTATACCGGAATATACAGTATCTTCATATACACCCAATGCTCACACATCTTTTGCTTTTGATTAATAAAACTGAAAATAAAACGTTTGCTTTCGATCAATAACATCAATCATAAAATTCCTGCTTTTCTTATTAAAAACTCTGTGCATAGTGGTACACTCCAGCTATTTATTAGTTCAGACGGACGAGAAACTTCTGAAAAGGTTGCTTTTGCGACCAAATGAAGAGCAGTGCTTATCAAAATACAGATTTTTAATCGACCGCGTATTCGATAGATTTTCAAAAAGTTTAATTCTACTTTTCGACATATTTTGCATAAAGAAACGCACCATTCGTCGTAATTGTATGCTTCACTTTATACGAGTAAAATGTTCAAGGAGAACAAAGCAATTCTAAAGATCACCTGAACGTGTAGAGAGATGTTAGCGAGAAGGTCGCTATAGGCAATCCTAACATCTCGAGCGAGCATCCCTTCAAGCGCCGTTACCGGGGACCGTGGCTTCCTTCTTCTCAGAGATAACGATAACAGGCGCATCGCATGATGGAATCTACCGTACATTTTGCATCGTGATCGCCGTTCGATGTTGGTAGAGCAATAAATAATAATAACAAGTCGGTGGATAAATGACCGTTCCGAGTACCGTGTAAAGCCCCTTTGCTCCCTCTTCGCGGAACGAACGGTTCAATTATTGATATAAATTTTGCAAAGCACCGGGAAATCAGGTCGACGTGTTAGGTTAGGTTACGGTTACACATCCCTGTGGACCGGGGAATAGAGAATACGGCCACGGTAATCCCTGCCTGTCGTAAGAGGCGACTAAAAGGGAGAGGTGGAGACCGCGGGACTGTGGCACCCGCGG